GCCTGCCTTATTAAATTGGAACTTTAAGGCATACTTTTGCCTTTGACTCTGATTTAATTCTGCATGATATTTGGAACGCTAACACAAACATTCATCCTTGGCTGTCTTTGAGATTTCTAGCTGCAATGGACAGCAGACCGAGGGGTGACCCCGGGGGCTTCTCAGTTTGCCTTGACGCTGACCCTGGCCGCCCAAGCCGCCTCCTCATACACCTACTGTACAGAAGTCATTCTCATGCACGTATTAGTAGCAAAACGTGAAAATTCCACCCAGTTCTTGGTATCTAATCATGCAACGGGAAATTAACCCTGAATCCTCCATGTGTTGATAGGGATGGAAGTTTGGGGTTTGCTCCCCATGCAATGCCCACCCTGTGGAGTTTCTTCCCAAGGGTTGACCCCTCTTCCCCCCTCTCCCTGCCCTCCTGGCCAGCCTCGCGCCTGCCCTGAGCCTCACCATGTAGTCTTGAAGCAGCTCCTCAGCATTCTGCTGATGGGGGATCATCAGCCAGATGTTGGGGAAGGAGGTGGAATTGTAGCTGAGACCTTGGCACACTTCTATCTTTATCGGTTCGCAGGTGGCCTCTGCTAGTGGTGGGAGAGAAGGCAACATCTCAGAGAGTAACCAGAATACAATGGTAAAGAGTTGAGTTGTCCTCTGCTTTCAGGGGGAAGAAGACTTCCCGCGCTCAAAACAAAAAAAAATGTGGAAAATGGAGCTGGGTTGTTCTCCAGAATTCACACATCTGGTCTCCTGTTGGTGACAGGTTGGTTTTTAGGTTCTCCTCAACGTCATGGGACCAGCTGAAGGCCAGGAGAAAAAGGAGGATGGGGGGGGGGGCTGGATGGGGAAGAGTGTGGTTGACCCACCTAGGAAGTTGGATTGAGATCACAGGTGAGATCTGAACTGCGGGCATTGCGATGAGTAGTTCTGCAAATTGGCCAACGAAGGGAGCTTGGTCCACGTAAGGGGACATTACTTACCCACTGAGGTGGAAGAAATGCTGGTACAGTTGACTTCGTCACTTCCATCCGGACAGTTCTTCCAGCTGTCACACACAAACTCCTGTGCCACACACTCGCCATTCCTGCAGACAAATTCCAGAGGTCCACATGTCTCTTGCATGGGGTGAGGGGCAAGGAAAAGAGAGAAGAATTTAGAGAAAAGAATTCCTTGGACTTTCAAGATCAGTGTTTCTCAATTTTGGCAGCTTGGAGATGGTTGAAGGTCAACTCTCAGAATTCAGGGCTGGCTGGGGAATTCCGAGAGTTGAAGTCCACCCATCTTCAAGCTGTTAAAGTTGAGGAACACTGCTTAAGTTGGTGAAGATGTCTTCTTAGAGTTGAAGTCCACCCATCTTTAAGCCATTAATGTTAAGAAACCCTGCTTAAGAAGATGCCTTCTTGGAGATGAAGTCCATCATTCTTCAAGCCACCAAGGTTGAGGAGCACCGCTTAAGATGGTGGATGTCTACTCTTCCCACATTGTATTTCTGGCCTTTCTCTTTGAAGGAAGCCAGAGATTCCCAGAAGAAACCTAGATTATTCTCGTGCCTTTCTTGAAAATAGCCACCTCAATTCTTCAGTTGAAAAAAAACAACAACACAACCAGAACATCTGGAAAAATGTACCTCAAATAGCACAGGCACAAAGCTCTGCCTTCGGACAACCTGTCGGTCCCAGCTTGGCCAGGAAACACTTCACAGGTGCTCCCTTCCCAACACTTCACTTAGATCCACCAATCTGAAGTCAAAGATTCTTGATTCCAGACTGCTTTCTCCTTAATCTCGGCTTGAGGTCCTGCAGAAGCCAGCTGCTCAAAGCAGTGATTTACTAACAGTTTAGACGCTGGCCTGCCAGAGAAGCGGCCATGATGCGTGAAAGTTAAAAATTAACGTTCGTCTCTCTCAAAGCCGGATTCTAGGCCACAGTTTACAGAAGGATGAACATTTGGTCTGATTAGGTCACCTGCCCACGTGAACTACACCTCTGAAACTTCTGCTGTGGCTTTCTTCCAAAGTTTAGGTTAATGTAGTGGAAGACACAGGAGGTTTATGCAATGCTTAAAAGAAAGAAGGAACAGAAGGAAGTGCAACAACACGCCTTCAAGAGAATGTCAGAGAAGAGACCAATTTAGGTCATTTCTTTGTTAATGATTTCTGTCGTTTTCTTGTGTTGTTCAGCTGCCCCCTTTGGTCATTTATATCCAAGGCTTTGTATCACTGCAAGGATGATGGGGTGAAGGCAGAGGAGGCAACATGGCGGTGTCAGTTTTAAAATCCTGCTGAGACTTGGAGGTGTCTTTTTGTGCAACGTCTATCAAAATTTGCACCATTATCCATCCACCTATCCATCTGTCCAACATTACATCCCTTCCTTCCTCCACCCCCCCACTGAACCACCCATCCATTCACCTATCTCATTCATCCATTCATCCTTGCAGTGATACAAAGCCTTCGATATAAATGATCAAAGGGGCAGCTGAACAACACACGAAAACGACAGAAATCATTAACAAAGAAATGACCTAAATTGGTCTCTTCTCTGACATTCTCTTGAAGGCGTGTTGTTGCACTTCNGTCCATAAACCATTTCGTAGTACTTCAACTCTCAGGTATTCACAAACTAAAGTATAATAAAAGGAGATGGTAAAGGTTTCCCTTGCACACATGTGCTAGTCGTTCCCGACTCTAGGGGTCGGTGCTCATCTCAATTTCAAAGCTGAAGAGCCAGTGCTGTCCTAAGACATCTCCGTGGTGATGTGTTTGGCATAACTAAATGCCAAAGGTGCATGGAACACTGTTTCGTATACAACGTACAATAAAATTCATTGTAAATAAAATTGAAATAAAATGCATTGTACAAGTACAATGCAGCTTCTGAAAAGTAGAAAATAAAGCTACTAAAAACAAATGAAAAGCTGTCACATTGGCTAAAATTATTTAAAATTAAATTGAATCAACCTACATATCAAGTTGAAGATTTGATCTCATGTTCATGAAGCATGCATTTGCAGCATTCATATTTTGCTAATCAATAACATTGACCACTTCAAGAGAAATCAGACATAGTTATAAAGTTTTATTTAAGGAACTGCAAATTTACGATTACAGTAGAGTTAATGTGTAATATAAAGAGGTACGTTTTGGGAGGGATGCAACATTTTCTTCTACTTTTACCAATAATACTTTTACATCTCTTACATGACATACATAATGATTGTTTGGCACGAAACGCAGAGAGAAACATTTTTTGCTCAAGGCTAAACGTCAGCAAGCCCAAACATAACTTTTGCGAGCATAGTTCACATGCAGTGCAGTTTTACGGCGGTCTATGGATATGCATGCACTCTGCAGACGTTAACAAATCTTCTTTCCATTTGCTCCAGAAAGATACTCCTCCGTTCGTTCGCCTACATCTCAGGGAAATAAGCCGAAACCACAACTAAGCACGCAAACTTCCACCTCTGCGTCCGCCACACCTTCCTTCTAACTCTCCCCTGCTCTTACGTTGTAACCCGACGGACCCCCACCCCCAGCTTTTGGTTCCAAAGAAGAAAAGGGCCAGAGAGCGGGTCTCGCGCGCCAGCCAGCGTGCGCGCCGTCCCTGGGATGTGCCTGATTGGCGCCCAAGGCGGCGCGCGCTGAATTCGTGCGCGAGAAGGGGCGGCGGAGCGTCTGGGTTTCCCCACCCTCCTTGTTTTCATTGTGCCGCCTTCTCGTGCTTTGTACGCGCGACAGCTGAGCTGGGAAAGGGGAGCGCGCGAGGGGGGGGGGCGGGTTCCCTGGCGGGCTGGAGGTTCCGGGAACCTTGCTTGGACGCCTTGAACGGGCTTGAGTCGCCGTCGCCTCCTCCTCCTCCTCCTCTTGGGAAGAGAGGGTACGATGGCGACGGCGGCTAGCCCGGCAGTGGTGGTAGAGGTGAGCGTGAGCAGCACCGGGAGCAGCAGCAGCGACACTTCCAGCACGGGCGAGGAGGAGAGGATGCGGCGCCTCTTCCAGACGTGCGATGGGGACGGCGACGGTTTTATCAGCAGGTGAGGGAAGACCTGGAGGGCAGAGGCAACATTGGGGCAGATGCAATGTTTCGTTTCGTAGCGAACAGTCGTTAAAGCAGGTCTTATAAGAGATGTGAAGTGCTCCGTGAAGCCCCGTAAAGTGCGGGTCAACTTCCTCGCAAGTTTTCTGAGTTGAATTTCTGAGTCGGGTATTTGCCCCGAGCTGAATGGTGGCCTAGGGGAGGTGCCGTCAGTTCTGCCAAGAATGCCGCCGAATGGGCCCAGAGCACCTTCTGACTACTTAAGGGACTGGCACGCTGGCATTTTCCAGCGAGTAGAAATGATTCTAAAGACAAGCCCTTCTCCTTCGAGCCATTTTGCCTCTCCCAGTTTCTTGCCCGCGTTTCTTAAAAAGTTGCGTATAAGATTTGCATTCCGACTGCGGAAACGCATTTTTTTGCCCCCTTTTTTAGTCTAAAAGAGTATAAACTGTGATTGGAAGTATTTGGGATGGTAAAAATGCCGCACTGGTTACTTTAAAGTATCTCTTCTCGTTGTTACTCCTGTTGAGCTACTTCAGATTAAGCTGAGCTGTTTTTTTATTTGTTCAGAAATTGAAGGAGGAGATGAAAAGGAAACAGGTTTCCACTATCACCGTTTTTCCCATTAGATATCCTTATCTTAGTTTTGTACAAAGTAATGCAATCTATTTTTTTTAATTTATTACATTTTTATGCCACTCACCTCCCCTATAAGGCGACTGTGGGTACTGTAGCTTACAAGTTATAAAACAAGTAGAAAAATAATATATTAAAAGGTTGAAACTACACAGATTAAGATTTTAAAACTAATTAAAGTAGATTTTGGGGAAGGTATTCTCACAAGCCCCCAACATATCTTGATGGATTTAATACAGTATTAATTAAATGAAGCAATACATTACATGGCATCCTTCAATTATTAAATTTAGACTCTAAAATTAATTGACTATTCTTTATAATGTGGTGAAATAAAAGCTCCTTTAAGCACAACAAAAATAATGTGAAAAGTTCAGAAATGTTCATGTTCCATACTGTCCTACAATAATTAAAGAACTGAAAAGTATAAATAAAAACACAAGGAAGCACAAAATCTAGAACATCTTGTAAGACAGGGGAAGATTTAAAGGAGCATTGTAAACTTAGCATAAGAATCTAACCTCATCATGTTTCATATTTCTCCAATATATCTTTCTGATTTGAATTCTATTCATACTATGAATTTTTAAAAAGTTTTGAAATTGTTAATTGGTTTTGAAAACCATATGACTGAAGAAATAAAAAGGCACAAGAGTGTTCAGGCAAGACAGTAGATTGTTATTGGTGGTAAATTTTTAAGTACAGTAGTAAATTACTTTGGCAATTCTATCAGTATGTAGAGGGATATATACTCTTAATTATAAATGGTTAAAATCAGTCCCTGTGGAAAGCAATTTGAACATACTGGATTGTTAGTCAGCAGAAGTGCATAGTAAATACCTACAATGGAATCCTTTGGTGTTGGCTTTTTGGTAGTTCTTGCAGAATACTTATGCACAGGATGAAACTATCCTCCAAATTGATGAAATATTGAAAGTCTTGATGCTTTGATTTGTTATTCTCATTTGTTGTAAATAACTGGTGTATACAGTGTTTTAAAAATAAAGTAGTTGCATATATTTTAGGAATTTTTACTTTATTTTATATTTTACTTTAAGTGAAGGTGTAAGATCATTTAATTTTTTTAGTGTATTCAATATATAATCTGAAAATATATTTTTGAAAATATGCACAGATTTATTTAGAGAAGGTTGTTTTGATTTCTAGGAAGCTTCAGCTGATGTTACATATTAAAATTACATTATAAGGCATGTTTTTCCCTCCTTGGGCTGATGAATAAATAGCATGTTTTACTTTTTAAACATTTTGCCCTTACAGACCAAATTGAAATATTTGACACTACTTAAAATAGGGGAAATGTTACAATCCAACTACCTTGACAAGTATCAGCACTTTAAGATCATTATCTCAAATCACTTTGTCTAAAATTGCAATTCAATAAAATATTGTTTTATGTGTATTACATATGCATGTTTCATTTTATAAAGGAATAGAGATTGATAGCTACAGTTACATATTCTGCAAGAACTACCAAAGAGATGTGCCCAACTTAGAACCATATTTCTGGGTTGAAATATAGTTGTAAGTTGAGAACTACCATACTGTATTGTAGTAGGAAGAAACAAAAAAGAAAAAGGCTGAACGTCTAGTACATTATGAACTAATGAACTAATCCCAGTTTTGGTAGAGTACATAACAGAAAAACCAGAATTTTTCATTCCAAACCAAGTGAAACTCATAATTCTTTTCCCAGTGAATTACGTGGCTTTAATTCATTCACATTGCTTTGATTTCTAGCCTGATTTTGTTTTTTTAAACCTTTGGAAAGTGCTTCTATGTGGGGGTGTTCTATTCCATTAAAGTACTTTCATGACATTTATTTGGTGTGATAGTCGAATTTCTGTTATTGAAAAGTAAGAGAGCACTGGATTGTTTTGGGTTGTTGCTGCTGCTAGTTAGTTTTATAAATACACTAACTAGGTTAGTTTTATAAATACACTTTACCATTAAATTGCTTGAGCAATTGCTTATAAGAGTTGTAAGTTCTGTTACAATATCTAATTATCCATCTAAAAATACTAATATTGTCTTGTAAATACTTTGTAAGCAGAATAGAATGTATAGCTTGGCATGGATTCATGGAGACATCCCCCTAACACACACACACACACCCAACGTTAAGTGCAATCTTCAGAGTTCTTTCACAAATTGCAATGAAATTGGAATTTTGACTATAACAATTAATGTTTGGAAGAAACAAATATATGTTATTTTGATTACCCACTTTAGTATAATTTAAAATGAATCCATTGTTGTTTTAATCCTAGCTGCACTCACTGTGAAATGTATCCTGCCCTCCAGCACTCTAAAAAGTTATTTATCACTTCATGGCAGCTCACCAGCCCAGTCTTAAAATATCTTAGAAAACTCCTGAATAAAGATTATCCCTAGACTTAGTCTACCTAACTGATATATTTGGGGCTGATACATCCAAGATAGATTTCTAAGAAAACAGAAGGAGGCACATCAATCTGCCATTTTCCACCCATTCAGAAGCCGCACCCACGTGCGCACGTGTGTGTGTGTGTGTGTGTGTGTGTGCGCACACACACGCACGCACACCTTTCAGTCAATCTTGATATCTGTCAACTGCCTTGACTAGCCCTGTAGTTTTCTTGGCAAGGGTTTTGAAGAGGTTTGCCACTGCCTGCTTCTTAGGGCTAAGAGAGTATGATTAGTCAACCAAGATCAGGACCATGATCATGTCTAAAACACAACTAAATTCACAGTCTCCCGGTTTCAAAACTCATGCCTTAGCCACTACATCAATCTGTTTAGGATTGGGTTATTAGGCTGAACATCTTGCGACTGATTCTGACAATGTATCTGTTCACTTAGAGATTTACCTGAAGATATACAGCAAGAATTCTTAAATATTCTCAAGCTAAATACGTAACAGTAATGATCTTTAATGGGAAGAGTAACATAAGATGCTACTTGTATCAATTTCATGCGTCGTTTGATTAATGATTGTCTTAAGCTAGGATATTCTTTTATTATAAGCTTTGTTTAGTGATTGAGATTTCTAAAATTCTGGGTCAAAAAATCTGAACATAAAGCTCTTTGTCTACTTGCCTCCAGTAAACACTTTGTTCAGAAATGATAATTTCTCATACCTCTAGGTAGAATCCCCTTGTGCTTGCTTCTATCAATATGATTGCCATTTCCTTTTTACCTGGTCATGAAACAGTTTAAGTTCAGTAAATCTTCTTCCTGAGCAATAGCTTACAAATGAAGCACAACTCAGATACTAACTACTTACTTGTATATGAAGCCTCTTATATGGTTCTGCAACAACACAAGATCGAATATCTTGGAAGGCACCATAAATACATATACTCTTGTCATCTCTGAACTCTCCAGCTTGTTTTGACTACCTTGTTTTCAAAGACAAGTATTGAGATATGGCTTTCTCTGCTTTATAAAGAAAGCAAATATAAATTCAAATTAGTGAGGAATATATTTTATTATACATGTGAAATTTAGCCTTTATATTCTGGATATTAAAACTTAAAAATATTTTCTTGTTTGCATGTATTTTGTACGCTTGTTTCCCCGTGTGCATTATTGAATGAAGTTGTTTCTTGTCTTAAAAGCCCTCATAAACATGAGTTTTATAGAGAACTGATGTTTATTCTTTTTCTAAAGCAAGTGCTTTCCTATTGTATGCAACTTAATTTGGTGTATGGAGACAAGCTATTTGCATGCTTAATGAAGTTATATGGTGTCTCAGCTGTGAAAAGCTTTTGTGGTACATTAAATTGAAAACTGTTTGAATACTAGCTGGGTAATAAAAGCTGCATATGGAGAGAAAAGGCACCTCCAGAGAGAATAGTTAATTGTCATACTATGAATAGTTAGGGTGACATTTTAAAATGTGAATTAAAAAAATGCTGATTGATACTAAAAAGGAATTGCATTTGGCAGTACAGGGTGTCATTTAAAATTCAGCTAATGAACTAATGGTTTAAAATATTTCCTTATAATACAATGAACATTTTAATAACTTGTCAAAATAAAGAACATAAAATAACAAAAATTAGGCATAATGAAAACTCTAAATATTTCAATGTATTTCTATACCAATGTCTACTTAAACTGGCATTGGAAGTGAGAGTTAATATTTGTAATAATTTCAGAACAAGAGAATTTGGATTCTATATGACACTGTTTCAAAGATGCTGATTATTTCCGGCAACAATATACAAAGGTAAATCATCCCAAATCTTGAATGATTAGCTAAACCCTAGGAATGCAACCCATGGACTCCATGTGCATGCTTCCTAACCTCTCCACTCGCGTCAGCTTCTGCTAATTTTTAGAAGCATGTATATGCCACCA